TCTCCTATTTCATTGAATGACCATTTTTTACCCTGAAGAATTATACTCAGTTTTGCTGAGTAGGTGATTCTAGGTTGTAGTCCTATCTCCTTTGCCCTAGAGAATATCATACTCCATGCCCTTCGGACCCTTAATGTAGAAGCTGCTAAACCTTGTGTTATCCTGATTGTGTTTCCACAATATTTGAATTGTTTCCTTCTGGCTGCTTGAATATTTTCTCCTTGACCTGGGGATTCTGGCATTTGGCTACAATATTCCTAGGAGTTTTCCTTTAGGGATCTCTTTCAGGAGGTGGTCAGTAGATTCTCTCAATTTCTATTTTGCCCTCTGGTTCTAAAATATCAGGGCAATTTTCCATGATAATTTCTTGAAAGATGATATCTAGGCTTTTTTTTTGATCATGGCTTTCAGATAGTCCAATAATTTTTAAGTTCTGTCTCCTGGATCTATTTTCCAGGTCAGGTGTTTTTCCAATGAGATATTTCGCATTCTCTTCTATTTTTTCATTCCTTTGGATTAGTGTTACAGTGCCTTGATTTCTCAAAATGTCCCTATCTTCCAATTTCTCCATTAGTTTTTAAGGAAGTATTTTCTTCAGTAATCTTTTGGACTTCCTTTTTAATTTGGCCAATTTTGTTTTTTAGGGCATTCTTCTCCTCATCGGCTTTTTGGACCTCTTTGGCCATTTGGGTTAGGCTGTTTTTTAACGTGTTATTTTCTTCAATATTTTTTGGGGTCTCCTTTAGCATCACTCTCAGTTTTTCCTGTACTTCTCTTACTTGCTTCTCAAAATCCTTTTTGAGCTCTTCCATGGCCTGGGACCAATTCATATTTTTCTTGGAGGCTTTGGATATAGGAGCTTTGGCTTGGTTGTCTTCTTCTGGTTGTATGTTTTGATCTTCTTTGTCACCAAAGTAAGATAATATAGTCTGACTCCTTTTGCACTGCTTGCTTATGATCTCAGCCAATTACTTGAGTATAAACTCTTTCTTAAGGTAGGAGTCTGTCTTCAGTGTGGAGAATGTACTGTCTCAAGCTTCAGGGATTTTGTGCAGCTGTTTTCGGAGAAACCTTTAGGGACCAGTAAATTTTCAGTTCTTCCAAGGTGTTATGATCAAGGGAGAGGTGTTCACTCCTTTCCTGGACTGTGCTGTGGTTTATGAGCACTCTTTTTCTGTCTTGGAACTGTGAGGAGGGTTTCCTCTCCACAGCCACTACAAGCTCCACAACACCAGTACTCCTCCTCATCCCAGGACCACCACCCAGAACTGCGACCCAGATCCAAGCACAGGCAAAGCAAGAGATTCCTGGCAAAGAGATCCCTGCAATCCCCCTCTGATCAGCCACTCGATCCCCCTTCAGTCTGTGGGCCAGAAGCTCAGTACGCAGCTGGGGCCCCGCTTTTGGGACTTGTGGCTGAGACCTAGCTTCTCTCCCACTGGAGAAACAGACTTTTCCCACTGACCTTCTCAGTTGTCTTTGGCGTTCCTGGGTTGAGAAGTCTGGAAACCATCCCAGCTGCCTGTGATTCAGTCCTCTGAGGCCTGCTCTAGGTTCGCTGTGGTCTGCGAGCCCATGCCGAACTGAGCTCCTCTCCCCACCCGGCGCAATATACCTTTCTGATCAACCATCCAAGCTGTCTTTGGCTATAAATTTGTTTCACTCGGTCTTTTTGTGAGTTCTGCTGCTTTAGAATTTGTTTAAAGCCATTTTTATAGGTATTTGGAGGATTTAGGGGGAGAACTCAAGCAAGTTACTGCTTTTACTCCACCATCTTGGCTCTGCCCCTCCAGATGAAATTTAAATTAGACACAAAAAAGGACTCTTGAACAGTGAAGGAATGATATAAAAATTTCCTTGTAGTAGGAAAGGAGGTAAGATAAACCTCACTCATTTGTGATGTTGTGGGTATAACAATTTGGATTCTCCCTTTTTTGAAATACAGTGAAATACACTCAGAACAGGGCACCAGGGCCAGAGTCTTGACTAAATTACATCAATGGATTCTATACCCCTAAAGAATAGAGGAGAGGAGTATGTCTGGAATTGGTACCTAAGGGCCTTTATCAAAGGTCCCGAAGCTGATGAATCAGCCAGAGAGTAAGATCAACAAAGTTTTTACATTTCCCAAGAGATGAGATGGGAGAGACAGGACACCCCAACTGCCACAGTCTAGGGTTAGAAATGGTTCTTATTTCCTTGCATACATCTGGAAAGGTTTCCTGGAGAAGAGAGGTATCTAGGTACCTTTTGAGTGGTAGCAAATAAATGACTGGTAGGTTGGTTCAGAATGTCTAGAAATAAAGTAGAGGTCTGAGAGGAGCAAAGAATGCATGTAGAGATACAAGAGGTCCTTTTCAGTCCTCTTCAGTCTTAATGTATTCCCTCTTTAAAACTCAAAATCTTATGGAAGTGAATGTTGAAAATTAAAAATAAATAAATTATCAAAAAAAGAGAAAAAAAGTCTTCACTTGAAGAAAGCACAAGAGAAATTGGGACTTTATGTACAGTTAAGATTTAAGTTAGACACAAAAAAGGACTCTTGAACAGTGAAGGGAGGATATAATAGTAGGAAAGGAGGTAAGACAAACCTCACCCATTTATGACGTAGTAGGAGTAACAATTTGGATTTTTCCTCCTCTGGAATACAGTTTGACACTCAGAACATGGGACCAGGGCCAGAGTCTTGACTAAATTATGTCAATGGATTCTATACCCTTAAAGTATAGAGGAGAGGAACATGTCTGGAATTGGTACCTAAGGGCCTTTATCAAAGGTCCTGAAGCTGATGAATCAGCCAGAGAGTAAGATCAACAAAGTTTTTACATTTCCCAAGAGATGAGATCCCTACCCTTGAGAAACAATATACACAGTGGCTCCTGTGGGGCTGGTATCATTGGGAAGGAGGGAGGTCCTGGGAGTGGGAAGGAGTTTAGCGATTCTTAGAATGTCCAAGACATACAAAGAGTACAAAAGCTGGAACTACTGGGAGTCTAGAGATGAGTATAGAATGTCCCAGAAGCAGGAGATCTTTTACATAATTACATAACTCAGATCATCAGGTATGAAAAAAGGAGAAAGATAGGAAGACACAAGGGAAGGATAATGGTGGCAGTGAGGACTGGAGCTATGGTAGAGAACTTCTTGTTTGATCAGACAGCAATGATATAGTGGAACTAATGCTGGCTAGAATCTCACCAGTTTTGTGTGACCCTGGGCAACTTATTTAAACTATTTGAGCTTTGGTTTCCTCAGGGATTCATAATACCTGTTCTGAATAACTGGGGAATCATTGTGCAAGATAACTTCCCAAGTAAAATGCTTCACAAATTGTGATATAAATGTCAACTATCATTATTTCACAGATTCCAAGTCTAAGGAGATGAAACTAGAACTGTAAGGGTGCTAGTTCTGACAACCCCCCCACCCCCAATTGTCCTCTCCATCTGTAACTCTCCCCTAATAAAAATGTGGCATGTCAGAATTGGAAAGGACTTTAGAGATCACCGATTTGTTCTGGATAGGTCCTTAAAGAGCATCATGGTCAAACATCATTTTTCCGGCAAACAAACTGAGGTCGACCAAGAGGAAGTGATTTGTCCAAGATCACAGAGCTAATTAATGATAGAAGCAACACTAGAATACAAGACAATGCCAATTTTATTGTATCCTGCTGCCTCTCTAGCAAGCCCTCAGAAATTTCCCTTTCACAGCTTTCTCTTATTGTAACTCCTTAATTGGTGAGTATCCATTTCTCTGTTGCCTTACCTTTTAGTCCCCTATTATGGTTCCTCAACCAAGGTTTGGGGGTACATGACTCTATGGGTCGCCATCTCCCTCTCCTTTCACATCTCTTTTTTTCTAGATCTTTCAATTCAATCACTGAGTCCCAAAGGGCAACTTCATGATTGAGCCTTCCTGTTTCTGAAAGGGATGGATCAATTTCACCATTTATATCTGATGGACAAGGGGCTTCTGGCAGTGAGGAAGGTACTCCTCTTAGAAAATAACAGAATATTTTTTGTAAGAATTTAAGGGATACAAGGATAAGGGGCAGCATGTGCATGCGTGTGTGTTTCTGTGAGTCTGTGTGTGTGTATGAAGCTGATGATATAGTAGCAAGGAATGGGTTGGGCAGAGCCTCTGGCCCAAGACCTTGGAATCCTGCCTGGCAGACCTTGGGAGACAACAATCATAGAGCGGAAAGCTCATTGGACTTGGGCCAGAAAATCTGAGTTTGAGTTCTAACTCTTAACACATGCTAGCTATGTGACTTTGGACGTCACTTCCAAGAATCCATGAGCCTTAATTTCCTTCTTCATCAAATGGAAAAAATAATAATTTTGCCCATGGTCTTCAAGACTGTTGCCCAGAAAATACTTTGTCAAGGACTGCATGAAATGAAAACTCTTGTTATTTCCAAGTTGTTTAAGGAACATTCTGCATACTTAAGTTTAGGATTTTCATTAACTGCAGTAAAAGTCCTACCCCTCAGGGTGTGGAGTTTACTCTGAGTTCTCAAAGTCTGTGCCAGTAGAGCACAAAGCCTGGCAAATTTTAATAAGTTATAAAGGCTTTGAGTATGAATAGATTGTGTCTTTTTATCTGAAAAACCTCCTGGCTAAGTTTGTAACTTCATCACCAGAGAAATGACTAGTAGAAATTTATTTAGTTATTTATTTGTTCATTTATTTACTCTCTCTTTTGTTTGTTTGTTTGTTTTTGCTGTAGAAATTCATCACACTCTTTCTTAAGGTATAGAAGGGTCAAAATCTGCATTGGTGGAAGGAAAAAAAAACCTGATGAAATAATTGATCTTTTGATGGGATGTATTGAGACAGAAAAAGGGAAAATGATCCTCAAGGAAATGAAATGGCTTGGCCATGGTCCCATAGCTTGTACATAGCAGGTCTGGGTCTAGGAGTCTTTCACCTTTCCACTAAATTACTTAACTTTCTGACCTCCCCTTGCCTCTTTTTTTAACCTCAATCCTAGAAACCATGAATTATGCTAACCAAACCTGGGTCCAGAACTTTGTCCTAGTTGGCTTCACTCTTACCCAGTCCCTGCAAACTCTTGTTTTCCTGGGTGTTCTGTCCACCTACCTCCTCACCTTGGCTGGTAACCTGTTCATCATCATCCTAGTCCAGGCTGACTCTGGGCTGGGCACTCCCATGTATTTCTTTATCAGTACCCTGTCCTTCCTGGAAGTCTGGTACATCAGCACCACAGTGCCCACACTCCTGTGCACAGTGCTTCGTGGGCCCTTGCCTGTCTCTCCTACCGTCTGCTTCACTCAGTTGTACATTTTCCACTCACTGGGTCTGACTGAGTGTTACCTTTTGGGTGTCATGGCCCTTGATCGCTACTTTGCTATTTGTCGCCCTCTCCACTACCACAGTCTCATGGGTGGCCAGGTGCGAGTCTGGCTAGCAGCAGCCTCTTGGGTGACTGGCTTCTCTGTGGCTCTGGTACCCACCTGCCTCACTGCCTCCTTGCCCTTCTGCCAGATGGAGATTGCTCATTACTTTTGTGACCTTGCACCACTCATGCGTCTGTCATGTGTAGGCACTGCCTGGCATGCACGTGTCCATGGGACTGTGATTGGCGTGGCTAATGGGTGCAACTTTACCTTGATCCTGTTCTTGTATGGGGGCATCCTGAGGGCTGTGCTGAGGTTGCCTGCAGCTGCCAGCAGGGCTAAGGCTTTCTCCACCTGTTCCTCCCACATAATGGTGGTGGCCTTATTCTATGGCTCAGCCTTTGCTGTTTATGTAGGGCCCCCCAGGGGCCAGGCAGAGGGCTCAGACAAGCTCATTGCCCTGATATATGCCCTGCTCACCCCCTTCCTCAACCCTATCATCTACACCCTTCGCAACAAGGAAGTGAAGGAGGCTGTGAAAAGGGTCACCCATAGGCTTTGGGCAGTGCTGAAGGGATGCTGAATGGTCTTCAGCTGCTAGCCTAGCCCTAGGTAAATGGTTGGGGATATTTATCCAATTGGGTTGTCATAGGATTGACTGGATAGCCAGTCAAGGAGTTAATCCACTACCCACAGGCTATGTTTATACACCTTGTGTTTGGAGATGCAGAGGAGCAGTCATGGTCCAGGACCTTGGGAAGTGCCCAGTTTGATGACAGACACAGGCTCCAGATATAACAACCACAACCACAGCCATGACAGAAAACTACATTTGTAAAGTTTTTTATGGTTTACAAAGTGCTCTCACATGCATCATTTCATCACAGCCTGATACAGCACTGGGAGTTAATGCAGTCTAGGCATTATTGTGTCATTTTACAGAAGAGGAAACTTATACTCACAGACAGGAAGTAACTTATTGAATGGCAGAGCTGAAACTTTAGGCACTTTAGAGATCATTATGTCCCCTTATTTTACAGATGAAGAAACTGAGGCCCAGAAGTGTCTTTTATGAGGTCACAAGGCTTGGGAATATAATATAATATAATACATATATGATAATAATTATAATATGTATGTATATCACACTAATTATATACCAGGAACTGGGTTAAGCACTTCAAAATTATTATCTCATTACTCCTTTAGTTATCTTATATTACACTATTGGTGTCCTCTGTTAGGTACTCTGAGGAAATTAAAGAAGAGTTGACTAAAATTTTTTTGGGGTGGCCTTGAGGAGTCATAATATACTCTGACCCTAAAAGAACACTTATACAAAGCATTGTCTATCTACACAGATAAACAATGGCAACATGCACTCATTTATTTAAAATTTAATTTTTTTTCAAATAAACATAAAATCTAGTTTCTCTCCCTCTCCTCCCCTCCCTTGACCCCCATAGAGAGATCTTATATTTACACAACTTTGCACCTTACAACTATTAAAAGCTTTACTTGTATTGTTAGAGTTCCAGGCCTGAAGTCAGGAAGACCTGAGTTCCAACCTGGCATCAGACACTTAATAGCTGTGTGTCCCCAGTCAAGTCACTTAATCCCTCTTTGCCTCAGTTTCCACATCTGTAAAACAGGGATAATAATAGCACCTATTTCCCTAGACTGTTGTGAGAATCAAATGAGATAATAATTATAAAGTACTCAGCACAGTCCCTGGCACATAGTAAGTGCTATATAATTGTTGTTCAGTTGTGTCTGATTCTTTGTGACCCTGTGTACTATGCTCTCTATGGAGTTTTCTTGGCAAAGATGCTGGAGTGGTGTTCCATTTCTTTCTTCAGTGGCTTAAAGCAAACAGAGATTAAGTGACTCACCCAGGGTCACATAGCTCCTAAGTGTCTGAGATGTGATTTAAACTCAGGTCTTCCTAACTCCAGGTCCAATGCTTTATCCACTGAGCCATCTAGTTGCCATATTATTATTATTATTGTTATCACAACCTTTCTGTTAGATAGGGAGCCTAGAAAAACAAGTCTCAGGATGGCTTGCCTAAAATCATTTCAGCTTAGTTTGACTCAATTCATTCAGTTCAGCAATGGCATGGTGCTAGGTACTGGGGGATAAAAAGAAATACAAAGGGCCCCTGTGCTCAATGAGCTTCTAATTGACTTGGAGGATGTGTACAAACTATATAGATTGAAATAATTCAACTTACTTTGAGTAAATAAAAGAGACTAGAAGGTTCTTTTTCTATATTTGCACTGATCTTTTTAGTGCCAGGATCAGAGCTGCAAATAAGGTGGGGCAATCAGGACTTTTGCTCGTGGTACTAAAGTTTAGAGGGCACTGAAATTTCTTGATAGCAGAAACAACTAAAGTTGGCACCTCTATTACAAGAATGATTAGTTAAAAGAGGCATCCCCCCTCAGGCAGCCTGTGCTAGGCCTCAGTTCTTCTTCTATGGATCAGTGTTAACAGTGATGAGTTCTTTCCTCACTTCCAAGTGAATGTCTTAAAAAGTTGATTTAGGGCCCTGTTTGATATACTTTTCCTACAGTAGGTCTGTGAATCTTATAGACAATATGCAAATTCACAAGCCCATTTAACAAGCATGCCATATAAGCCTTAACCCAAGTCATTAATAACACTTAGGTGGCTAGTCTAGCACTGGTACCATTTGTTTCTCCTATATGACTTTATTCTTCTAGATCACACCCACTTCTCTATATTCAGCTACTTTTCTAAGCTTAGATTTGCTCCCAAATAAAAATAGAGTACGCATGGAGTAACACCGATAGCTCCAGGCACATAATTCAGGAGCTTTGCTCCCAGCCCCCATGTAGGCTTACATCTGATATCAATGCTAGTATTTTAATACTTGAGTTGATCCATGATCTTATCAATGTGATCTCTTTCCCTCCTAACAGTGTTGCTCATAGTCCATTGATGCTTTCCCATCCCATGTGGTTCTTGCTCATATCCTTTTATACAAATTTTTCACAGAAGATAGGACCAATGTACTAGACACCTTCCTCTGGGTTTTTTCAACTCAATTCAGTTCATTGCAGTTCAATCCAAATCACAGTTGTGGTTAAGCTGGTCCCCGATTGATCTGGCTGTCTCCTGTCTCTATATTACTTGATCAGTATATTGAGATTTATGCTCTGCCTTCATTACACTCTGACTTTTACTGTATAGAATGTCCTAAAAATCTTCATAAATCTTAAAGTTGCATTAACACTTTTGGGAAACCCTATATTTATCTATTTACATTATATCTCTCCCTCCCTCCTTTCTAGTAGAATGAAAGCTCTTTGAGTCAAGTCACAAAGCATGCTTACCATGTGCCAAGGAATGTGCTAAGGGTATGAACTGTCATTAAAAAATCTTTGTGCAATTGTTGTTATCAGAGAAATTCCTACCCCTTAATGGTCCCTGACTAGAATAAAACAACTGAATTTGTGTGCCTTGCTTTTGTTATTCAGTTGTGTCTGACTCTTCATAATCCCATTGGGCATTTTCTTGGTAAAGATACTGAAGTAGTTTTGCCATTTCCTTCTCCAGCTCATTTTACAGATGAGGAAACTGAGGCAAACAGGGTTAAGTGACTTGTCCAGGAAGTATCTGAGGCCAGATTTGAACTCAAAGTGAGGAGTCCTCCTGACTCTGAGCCTTGGGCTTTCCATTGTGCAAAGTAGCTGCCCTGTACTCAGCTCAGTACCTTACATAATAAATGACAGACTTTCAGAGGCAAAAGTGTCCCCTGAGGCCATCTGGTCCAACTTGTACCTGAACATATCACTCTGCAACATCAAAAATAAGGTCCAGGGATCCTTAGAGATTTCTTGGACTTTTTCTAGGGGATCTATGAGATCAAAACTCTTTTCATAATGATACTAAGATGCTTTAATTTCTAATTATGTTAAATATCAACAACAATCAACATATACGGATGGTCTTTGAGGTCCTCAGTAATTTTTAAGCATATAAAAGGTTCCTAAGACCAAAAAGTTTTAGAGACATTGTTCTCTAATATAACTGGGAAGTGGTCATCCAACTTTGTGTTTTGGGGTTTTTTTTTGTTAGTTTGTTTCTTTGGATAACTGTAAAGGTCAGACGTTTTCCTTACATTAAGCTAAAACTCGTCCCTTCACAAATTTTAACCATTTCCAATAATTTTCCCTTCTGAGGTAAAACAGATCAAGTCAAATCTTCTATTTTGAGACAAGGAGAGTGACTAGGGTGTTGATCCTTGCCCTCTCTGGTAATTTATTACCCTTGCTATCCTCCCTTATGATGAGCCCATCCCTGATGAGTTCACGATACAATTTCTTGACTCTAAGTTTTGACTGCCTCACAGTACAATTTCCATTCTGTTGTCAGCCTGTGTCTGTCTGGGTCAGTGTAAATGTTTCAGACTGAGTCCTTCAACTTCCCTGTGGGAAAGGACTAGGCTAGACAACCAAGTCCTAATTAGTATGAAAAATGACTCTCTTGAAGTGGTAGCATCATTCTAAATCATACTCCATATTTCCATTGGGCTAGAACCAATTAACATATTTTACATAATTATAACTTCAAAGAGTACAAATTCAAATACGTATAGATGCTTAGTAAAGTCTTAGTGGTGATGATGGTAGTGGTATTCATGATAACCTCTTCCATTTCCAAGTTCTCCTCATTCTCCTCTTACTGGAGTTATGGGGGTTGGGTAGGTTGAGAGGGTTACAAACTTAGGTGGTAGCGCATTCTCTGTTACTGGAAGTGCTCAAGCAGAGATGGGATGATCACTTGTTGGGGATGTAGAGAGAATTTATGCTACAGATAGAAGTTGGATTGTAGAGACAGCTAGTGGCTCAGTGGAAAGAGCATTGGACCTGGAGTCAGGAAGATCTGAGTTCAAATCCAGCCTCAGACACTTCCTGGCTGGATGACCCTGGGCTAGTCATTTAACTGCTGATTGCCTGACAAAATGGATTCACTACACAAATGCAGGGATTTTCAAAATTGTTCAATCTGCGAGGAAAACAACAACAACAACAACAACTGAAGCAGAGTCTGAATCAAAGGCACTTTATTAAAGGGCTCATGGCTTCCTCTATCAAACAGAATCTCAAGTCTCACAATCTGAGATGTCCCCTTCATCCAAGGCCTTAACTTTATAATACTTGATTCCCAGACAATACAAGTGAAGCAGACCAAAAATACAGAATCTCATTGGTTGGTAGACCTTGCCCTTGACCCTCTAGGAGGGTCTACACAAAATATAGAATCCCATTGGTTGATAAATGGGCTAGTAAACAGACCTTAACCGACCTATCTTGACCTTTCAGAAGGTCATACAATGCCAATGAGCACACCCATGGTTTGGTAGAAAGGCAGGCCACAGGCCAACAACAAGAGTCACTGATGGGCTATGTGCTCATGATCATCTTACCATGTTGAGCAACAGAGGGCAACTGCACAAGGGACAGAGGGGCAACAAAAATAACTGGGGGGGGGTAGTGCTTTCCACATAATTGAGTCACTTCCACCAAGTTGGGCATGGTCACCATAACAAGGTAA